TTAAGGTTTGACTATTCAATGACAACGCCCTTGCTTTGGTCTGCTTTACAGTATGCCTTGAATGAAATTGATGAAATGAAAGATTTTTTCAGAGCAATGAAAAAGGAAATGGCTACCATGAAAGGGGAAATAACAAAGCTGAAGAAGAAAGTTAAAAATAATAGCGATAGCGATTAATATAAAATATAAGCTGATTTATATGAGCGATTTTCACTCTGAGTATGCTACCTGTATGGAACTACTTAAGCAAAAAAGCAAAGACATTTCGGAAACCGATATACTCTTAAAAGCGATGAAAGATCTGTTAAGTAAATTACAAACAGAAGAAGAAAAAGTAGAAGCATTGAAAAAAAAGAAGAAATGTCCCTGCTTCGGTTTTACTCACCTTCATTTTTGTAATCCTAGTTTGTTTTGATAATTAACAATATATTGTTAATGTTATTATTCATCACTCATTATAATCTGTTGGTTTAAGTTTTTGTAAAACATATCTTCTTTATTTGGTTGCATTAAATCTATAAATAAAAAGCTATGTTTTTCATCCGTTGCCAGTTTATATATTTGTAACAAAGTTGCTTTATCATATAATGCTGACAGTTCCTCTAATAAACTATCTAAATCTTTTGTCCCGACGAAGGTAGAACAATAGTAATGCCTACCCTTACAATATAATTTCATTAGATGGACTGAGTTACGAGCCACCTCTTTTGTATCTGAAAAATCATCCACTATCAGGGCAATATGGAACATATTATCATATTTGTTTTTCTTCATATATTGAACGACTTTTTCTTGTGTGTTAATAACTCTATCCATATCTTTTGGGTCATAGTAATCAAAATACATAGGGTCTTTATCTGTATGTTCTTGCTTCATTTCTTTTTCCATATAATTCTTTACAGCGTTCCAATTATCATCCAAAAATATTGTAGGAGACCATATAAATATTTTCTCAAAGCAACCACGATAGACATCTAATATTAATTTCGTTAATACAACTGTTTTACCAGTTCCAGACGGGCCTAATAGCAACTGACGCGCGGGTAATTTACCTACATGTTCATATTTTGACTGCTTACTTTTATATTCTTTGGTTTTGTATGGTTTTATTTCAGGGACGTTACTCATAATTATTAATACATAGAAATTATATGATTTTAATATACAATGGAAACATCATATCAGGATTATATTGATATAATAAACGAAGTTGAGAAAATAGAAGAAGTGGTAATAACGGATAATAAAATTAAAAAGTGTTGTAATACTTCGTTGGAAGTTCTCAAATGTATTCTTTACTATTTTAAGAATTCTAAAAAATCTAAGAAAGGTTAATGAGCGATACCACTGAAAACAATGAAGATAATAAAGAGTTTCACATTGATAAGAAGGGCTTTCACTGCATACCTTGCCGATGCAAGAGACAGCTATACCATAAGGAGACTAAAACAGTCAAGGAAAATGATAAGGTAACAACCAACACTGTTATTGATAAAAGTAATATCAAATTTGGCGGTAGGAATGTTTCACCTGATGAAATCTTTAAAACTGATGAGGTAGATCAAACAGGATCGGTTGAAATCTGCGACACAGGATGGAACAGAGGAAGTCAGATAACACCAGAGGAGTTAGAAGAGCGCATTGATAAGCTAGAAACCGAGGTTGAACGGATAGACAAAGATGTAACTGTTTTGAAGAATAATTTAAATATTATGGATTAAAATATCATGTATATTGACAGGCCATCTTGGCATAAAAAAGCCCCAATGAAAACAGAAGAAGGAAGTGAGCCAATGCCCCCGCGTGCCTAGCAAGTTCTACAGGTTATAAGCAAACCATAAGAGTTTGGTAATGACATTAATTCGTAATTAGTTTCGTTAAACCTTAAGGAACCACTGCAAATTTTCATAATATCGCATTATGAAAAAGTGTATATAATAATAATAATAGTAATAATAATGCCAATGAAAGTAGATAAGATATTAGTTGATTTTGAACCATATACTGAAACAAATAATGTTGCTACTAAGAAGTGTTATCGTTGTAAGCAAGACAAAGACATTGATTGTTTCAAGCGTTGCTATTATGCTGGTAAGCATTCTTATTATTATGTTAAATACATTGCGACTTGTTCTGAATGCTTGGATAAATCTGTCAAATAAACCGCGATGCAGTAAATCTTAAGAAAATGATATTACAATGACTTAAAGAAATAACGCCTACATATATTAACAGGGAAATGTTCAATCAAAAAGAACAGGACGAAATAACAAATAACTTCTTGGATGTTGTCAAGGTTCACGATTACTTCAGGGAACTCAAGGAAGAGCGACGGAATTGTAAATGTAAAGGTTGTAAGAAACACGAACGTTATTCCACTCTGTATGAATTGTCACTACCAGAAAATATTATTAATAATATCTACGGCTTTGCTTATTGTTGCCGTAGTTGTCAAAAACGCCAGTTCAAGAAGGAGGAGAGGATAGAGGGAATTATCAGACGTAATATACTACATGTATATGATGTAGATAGACTTATTTTCTCAATTAAACATGACTTTCCCATCTACGACAGGGTTAAAAATAATCTGTTCAAGAAATTGTCAAAAAGAATATATACAGTGTTCAAATGGATATATGAGGATTGGATGGAAATTAAAAGTATTAATATTCGTAGTAAGATAAACGATTTTGGTTTTAATCCAGATGTATTTATTAGGGACTTTAATAAAATTGTTGGAACTCTTATGAATAAACCTGAGTTTGTCTTAATGGATTAAACAACCTAGCCAAGATAGTTATAGTGTACTTATAATACATAAGCAGTTATATATTATAATTACAATGTAGTTAAAACCCTTAACCCTAAACCCTGAACCAAATCCTACGAGAACCCCCTTGCCTATTTAGGCTAATAATGCCACCTTAGAGATAATAGATGGGGTTATGGTTATTCCTATAATTGTATTGATAATGGGGTAGTAGTAGTGATATATCGGTGAAGTGTAGGGGGGACCCTAGGAATGATCAGCTAATGGGACAAGTAGTAGTGATATATCGGTAAAATGTAGGGGGGACACCAGGAATGATAATCTAATGGGTTGGCGGTGGCACTATTAGCCTAAATAGGCAAGGTATACTCTAACTGATTAAGGGTCCCTATTAGGCGTCCCTCCTAAAGTCCTTAGAAACCGAGGCAACTGGGTCATCCTCCAGAATTGCCATCTCGCAGTTTCATGGATGCCAATGCTGGAGAAGCTCGTGGAGGAGCTGAGCTCCTTTTATCAGAAGAGAGACCAGTGCTATCTCAGCTGCAGTCCGCTGCCTGAACGGCAACACCTCCAATGTATGGGGATGAAGCAACACAGGCATGCCAACATCAGTCAACATCTCAACCTTCATGACATGCTGGCCTGAACACAGTCAGGAGTTGGACCCTGATGCCGTCGCCCACACCTTCCGCCTCTGGCTGAGTGCCATGTGCCTTGTCGAATGAAGTGGTCACTCAAAGCAAAGCTTCGCGGAGCCACAGTCCAGAACGATGCTTTCTCCCCGTCTAGCCCAGAGATACCCCACTTTCATCCACACTTCACAGTAGCCCAGTGAGACTCACAAACAGAGTCATGCCGGCAGTGCATCTGCCAGGCCGTCGCCCCATTTCCCTGTGAGCGTGCTGCAAAACGGCATGAAGATGACCGTGGAGCCACCGAAAGGCTCGGGATCCGCAAGCTTTACGACAACTGTCTCCTCTTACACTCCGCATGCAGCATCTAGATTCTGTTTGCGTGCTCCTTGCACTCCTCCGTCAAGCTGTGAACCTGGAAACCCGCACATGCAACACCGAAATGAGAGATGCCCCGAATTTCTTAGCGAAGTGTTGGAACGGAATAAGCGTGGTTGGGGTGAAGTTTTTTGGTGCATCTCAATGAACGAGGCTTGAAGTCGAATTTGCTCCGTGCCTACCTCTCCTTCGAGGACAGATTCGGCCAGGGGCAGGGCTTGCTTGGGACTTATGACGTGCTGACCTCTTTAGGGGTTTTGGGTTTAGGGTAGATTCGTGTCGGATGCTTCAACTTCTCAACTCGTGGAGTGCATTGTGCCTCCAGATCACCTTGGAAACTCAATTGTGACCATGAGGCCGCAGCAACTTCACAGTTTTTGTCGGTGAAGCCTTTCAGGAAGAATGGTTCGAGTCGGCAGGCAACACTGATGCTTCACGCAAGGCCAGAACCTGAGTAGATTCGGAACTACGGCAAGGCTTTAAGGTGAGGGCTGCCGGATTGTTTGTGTTGAGTTTCGGGGATACTCACAGGGAGCAAGCTGAGCCATGTGGTCCCAGACTGTAAATTGCATGCAGATGGAAGAATCCATAATGTGGCTCAGGCCCATATTTTACTCATGAATTCCGATCTTGCAACAGATCGCCTTCTTGGGCTTGTGTTGAGTGTTGTTTGCCAGTACTACCCTCCAGACAGAGCAGAGGGAAGCTGTTGACTCGAGATCTGGAGTTGAGATGCAGGTCGAGATGGCTAAGATAGCTCTTTTGTGGCGGGGATACCTCATGTTTTTTTCGCAGCTGGTCCTACCCGCCTCTCTCCAAGCCCCAGGCCATTAAAGAACGGCAGAACACCTGTAGCCACTGCAGCTCAGCCCCCCTGCTTTCCGAG